AAGCTGGCCGATTGAAGCAGCAAGCAGAGGAGGAAGCCGCAAAGGCCAAGCGAAGTGAGATAGAAGCTGCCAAAGCTGCTGCTATGGGTGGAACAGGTGATGACATTCGCAATAGCGCTCTGGCAGAGTACAATTCTTGGATGGCCAAGATCAAACACATCAAGACTGCCGTTCTTCCTACCATCTCTTCGAATCCAGACCTCAGAAAACAGTGTTTTGCGGCAAAACGACAGATCACACCAAAGATTGGTCAACTCACCAATTCACGAGCTGAAATCACTCGGATCGCCCAAGCTATCGCTTCCGTTCTCGATGCTGCCAAAGCTGCAGCCGCTTCTGGCTCTGGCGACGTGTATACCTGGATTCTGAACCATCTCTCTAAATGTCTCATTCGCCAAGCAGAGCAGGAAGTCGCGGCAAAGCAGGACACCGCATATCCTCTCGCCAGAGTTGTCGTATGGCTCATCTTGCTTGGACATACGGAGCTAGGCGAGGTTCTTATGGCTCGATTATGCAAAAAGTGCCCTTGGGTGATTCCCGTGTGGCCTGGTAGGAGTAAGGACATGGATGATGCTACGTATCGCAAAGTGATGGGGTACAAGTCGGCAGAAGAAACGACCGAGAATCATAGCAATAGGATGAGTGGTATCGCTGCGTTCTACTTCGCTATTCTTCAGACAACTCCTTCTGCGCCCCCTTCGGCTGCCCCGATGGACGTTGAAAAGATCCCTTTGCACTTACGTTCCACCACTCTGTGGCGCTGGAGTGTAAGAGCCTTGACACCAAGTACGGGGAAGATAGGGTTCCTCGACCATCCCTTGTGTCCAGGAATTTGGTCGGTGTATGTCGAAATCGCAGGCAACAAGGCATTAGGCTTGTATGGTAAGCAGATGAAGAAGGCGTTCAATTTGTTACTAAAGGAGGGAATCGAGGATAAGAAAGGTGGGTGGTTGAAATATTGCGAAGAAATGGGCGGTGTCAAGGCGGCAAGTGTTCGTCTGGAGCTGATGTTGAAGGATTGGGCGGCTTCAAGTGGGCAAAGTGTCATTGTCGGAGCTACCAAGGGTGTTGAGATGGAGACTTGAGTTGTAGACAAGTGGTTTGCCATGCAAAGGCATTCGCTGAGTTGGTACAGTAAATTCACATCTAGACACCGATTAATCAAGTCACGGACATAAGTCAATGCAATCGCGAACTCAATCGCAAAACGGAGTATGCCTACTTAGAACATCGACGTCGATAATGCTTGTGGATGGAAACGTCCGAGGGGGCAGGAGCGTGGGACAGCTTGGCTGGGAGCGTCCGAGCCTCCTCCGTTTGTTGCCAAGAAAGTCACAGGATTTTTTGCAATCGAGAAACTGCTTCAGGTTTGCTTGGCTAAAGGAGAAGGATCATCGGCGAGACATTTGTTGTTTCAAATTCGAAGACGCAGCGTCGAGCAAGCTAATGTCGGCCCAGCTAGCTTTGAACGCCCTTGAGTGTGTTATCATCTCTAATTCAGGCTATTGTGACAACTCTCACACGGAGGACGACAGACGTACTAAAGCTTCGCTGGCTAGTCTCCTCGTCAACATCTTGATAATTCTGCTCAACCGCATCATAAAGTGACTAAAGTCGAAAAGTCTTCTTCTCGTTGGGATAGCAGCTGATGTCTTGTAGGATTGGCTCTAATGCAGCCTCTTCCCCTTCCCTTCTCGTCTTCCGCACCGCTCTCACTGGAGCCGAGACAGCTACTTTTGCGCAGTTTATGCTATCGGAGAACCTTATATGGAAATAGAAGCCACTTGCGTTGAACTCGACCGTGCTGTCATGTCCTGCTATTGGTGCAACTACCACGAAATCTGTCAAGCAGAAACACGAAAATGGGCGATTTCTGTTAAATTTCGTGCTGGGGATCCAGTAAAGCCTACATAGCGGTAAACTGGACTCACCTTGGCCAGAGGCAGATGCAAAGCCAAGCATGCCATGAGAGGACGAATGAGCTGCTGAGACGATATCATCGCGTATCGTAAAGCAGGCGTGAGGTAGCAAATCATTCGACGGCGCTCCGGTAAGCGTGCAGTATCGGCTCCACTCGGTTTGACCCGTTGGCGACCTGTCAAATAACGCGTTGATATGCCCTGCAGAAGCTGTCAGACGCAAATAAAGCAGGTTGATCAGGGGTGCAAAAAGCGTTGGGGCATACATGCTGCTTTGAGTAAGTGGTGTGAGGTGAAACAGAAACGACGTTGGTCGGTATGTGACTTTATGGTTGATGGACAACACAGCCTCCGCCAGTGAACACTGGACCCCTAGTCAGTGACGAAGTTGGCGGGCGTGCGACCTTTCATATGCAGGTGAGCGCCACAGCTCAGCCCACACGTAGGGAGAAATGAGAAGACTCATGGTCTATATTTGTACGTACGGTATAAACAGTACAGTATGGCCAGCTTTGATATCGTATGCTGTCAGGTCAATCCGCTTTCCCGTCAGGGACTCGGAGCAAAATCGGAGCGTTCCAAATGAGTTGAGCCCCGAATGATCACTCAGGTGGGGGGAAAGCAAAGCTCTCGCTTTCCACACAGTACGGACCATTTCCATCCTTGACTCACATCATCGAAAGCTTCACAATACTGGCTCGCAAAGTCGTCGCATTTTTTCCTTCCTGCTGCGAAATTTTTCTACCCCGTCCTGTCAATGTCATTCCACATCTTTCGAGCTTTGGCTCAATGGCAGAAGGAGGAGCCAATGCGCCAAACAACATACGCCTTGCTGCGCGAGCATCTGAGCTGAATTGTGCTCTTAAATGTCAATTTGGATGCAATCTCGAGGCCAATGTTCGAGAAGCACCGAAAAGGTGATGCGGCTTGCGTCTCCTGAGAAATTATTCTTTGGTAGTGTAAACGATGTTTGGTTCAGGAACTGAGTGGATCACAGCTTGTTGCGCAATTGCGGCGGTAATTCCCACGGTCCCACCAGTAAGAGACTTCTCTGCCAGATCCGTGCCCCTGTTGGCTTCTACTCCAGCCCCAGACTCATAAATAAAGAACTTGGACGTCCTGAGTTTGGCTCTTCTTGCAATGCGCTCTTCTCGATCTTCCACTTTGTCGATTTTCACCTCAATCGCAATCCTTTTCTGACCCGAACATGAAGAGAACTTTGTGGTATCAAGTTTGGATTCTCGCTTTGGCAAGCTTGAGTGCCAGTAAGGAGCTAAAAGGTAGCTCCAGCGTCAATCATGGCTTCTCCGTAGACGATGGAGCCTGGCATCACCTCTGCGACAAAAGAGCAGCCTCTACCCTGCCACCTGGGAGTCAATCTCCTGCCTACGCTTGCTTCGATACAAAGCATCACGTTGCTAAGAGCATTCAAGATGCCCATTTCTCATCTGTACACGGCGTCATAGACGGTAGCGGAAGACGTAAGTATCGGGGCCTAAACTCTGGGAATACGAAGAGCGAGGATTCTCACTTTCCATATCTTTTGTTTTGCAGGCTTTGCCCTTTTCCCAGACGCCACAATTATGCTGAAGAATTTGGAGATCCACGTGAGGTATTTGAAGGACACCGAAGAGAACAAGAGAGACAGGGAAGAAGGCTGCGTGGATGTCAAGGTATATCACTTGCCCAAGAGGAACATTCAAGTTAGGGAGACTTGGTGCCCAGTTCAATTCCAACCGGTCATATTGTGAAAGGTTGCGATGTCTGGATCCGCTCTTTCTGCAGAAACCTTTACACCTCGTATCCCTGTTCCTTTTCGTGTGCTGCAGCTGCATGCACGTATGTACCCTTGTCTGTAACAATCTGACAACCTGTTGGCCGCATCGACGACCTGTACCAGTGTCGGGTTCAAAGCGTTCGTGAAGGAGGTGAGATCAATGCCCCACATTTCTTTGCTGTGCTGTGTGGTCCCACGGTTGAAAACACTGTTCGAGGAAAGCTTGAGCAGACACATGGGTATAAATTTACTGTCTTCTTGTTCGCCCACCCCCCATCTCGACTATTCCAACCTCAACTCTCTGTCCTTTTCACCACATATCATCTTAACCAATCCTTCTACAAGATGAAGTCTTTCGCCTTTGTCCTTTCGGCTCTTGTTCTTGCTGGCGGAACCACTGCCGCCACCATGGCCCGATTTAAGCAAGAAATTGTTAAAGCAGATCCCTCTGGCTTGAAATTGGGCACAGGTGGATACGATTTCTTTTGTACTGTGACCGTCGAGCAGCTTTCAACGATTTCGCGGGCTTGCTTCAAGGCTGACTGGGGCGTGACGAAAAACCTCCCAGCTCGCAGTTCTGATAATAAATTGGATGGATACATCAGCAAGAATAATACCAGTAAGCATCTGACAATCACGAGTGTCTGGTATTAAGCCTTTTGAAAAGATCCATGCTGACCCACTGGCCAAACTCATTGACAACAGGCTTTGTTGTGGAGACCAACACCCATGCATTTTTCCAACTGGACCGTCCCCATTACCCGCCGATCAATGTTTATGTATATAATCACCGCGAAGAGGGCTTCGATGATCCGCATGCGTTAATTGCTGTCTCAGCATACAAGAAGTCGCACCATGGCCAGGAGCCTCCTAAAGGCTGCCTCGCGGTCGTGGTCTACGCTGTGCCAGACGCAGGCCCGCCGAAAGGTTTTTCGACATTCTACAAGATTCACTGCCCCGGTACGGACGAGCCTATTGACCTGAAAGCGATCCAAGACTCGGTTCACTACTCCTCGGCACCGTTGACCACTGGAATGGGGGTGGGGGTGATTTCGTAGGCGTCCTGACTTCGGGTCCGTAGGATGCAAACAAAGCTTGAAGCGCACCAATGACATGCAAGGTCTGGTTCCTCTCAATTCAACTTTGCCTGCATACCTTCCCCTGACATCATATCCCTTCACCACATAGTTCACTCTATTCCAGAATTGAAATCATGTTGTCCAGCAAAGAGAGTCGACCACAATCGCAAGCGAGACGCTCCCCTAAATCACCTAAAAACGTGCAAAAAATTGGAACGCAAAAAGTGTCCTTGACGAGAGTCGAACTCGTGATCTTAGGATATCAGAACTTTTTAAGCTCGTAGGTTGATTCCCGTGTAACGGGATCGTTGGTATTTTACGTATGAGACCTACGCCCTAACCAACTAGGCCACAAAGACACACTGCTGGACGTCCAGTAATAGTGTAATAATAAAGCATTCTAGCTAAACGAGGTGAGAAGAGCGGCAAATTGCTGCACATTTAAATGTATGGATACTGATATGAATCAGAGGCAGCAGACACGCAGTAGACATTTTTAGCAAGGGGCAGCGCCTTGATCCAGGTAAGTGAGTGTGGTGAATGGAGTGTGTGTAGTTTGTGCATAAGGTTGTTCGCAACACCCGAAGGATTATAGTAGCTTGGCTTGGACCGCCAGCGCGTGCACAGATCTCACATGCTGTGAACACGACCTTATTTCCGTCTCGTGCTCCTTGCTGCCATCTTGATTCTACAGAAGCGTGACTTGCTGTTGAGCTCCAGGAACGTTCTCAGGGCTTGCTTGATCCCCCTACCGCTCGCAGGTAAAAGGCAGCTACAGTACTGCACTGAGAACAAAGTAAGGGTGGTTTCCCGATCTCATATGTGGGGCCTTTACTGTATAGACAACTCACCCATGGTGTACGATGAAAGCTTGGAGTCAGTGGCCATTGCTCAGTAATGACATTGCCATGCGCCCAAAGCCTGGGTCTGTGTGATGCAGAAGAGAAGCAAAGGAAGTGGGCCCTTTCCGTTCGTTTCAAGCTGTTCGTAAAGCGGAAATGTGAAAGGGCTTCCTACGAGACGTGTACTTTGATGACGCCTTGTTGGTGTTAGCGTGCTGCTCCAAACAAGTGAGCCAGATTGCTGTGGGGCCAGATCGCTACGGGTGAGCTTGAGCTCGATGCCATGCGTTATCATAATCATAGGTCTGGTGCAGCAAATGGAGGGCGAGCCAGCCTCCAAGTCTCGCCAGCATATAAAAGCCTCGTCTTCGTGAGCTTCTGTCTACCCCTCTCCATAGTACACTGACAAGAGCCTGGAGGACTCATTTTTGGCTCCAGCCCGCTTCGATTGAAGGATTATATCGATGGATCTGATACCAACTTTGTGCTCTTTGCAGGTCAGGTGGTGACCTTTGACGACAAGGTTGAAATTCACGTCAAGTACCCCAAGAAGTGCCAAGGTCGGGAGAAGGGCTGTTCTGAGTCTCGCTCTACGAGCTGCCTGAATGGAGACTTGAGAGCAGGACTGGATTTTTTCTGTCCAGGTGTAGACCAATTATGCTTCTCTAGGCCTAGCTTAGTCAATGGCAAGAGGCTCTTTAGGTTGCCACTTGCTTGTATTGGGTCTCCAAACGAGCCTCTACCTGCAATTACCGCAGTCTTTGACCGCATTTTCAGTGGCGTGGCATCTCGAAGACCTGACATCTGTCGAGTACTCATGTTTATCTTAAGTTTGGAATATTTGTTCTCGTGCTCAAACCCCAATTTTGGCGGACGATGTGCGGGATGCCACAATCCGACGGGTCTCTTCCATCTGCAACGCAATGATCGTAAATATCACTTTTTGTGCGATCAGCATACCCACCATGCTCGTGACGCAAAGAAAGCCAGGGCTTGTTTCGATACCAACCTCAAGCTGAGCAAGTACCTCTCCGCCCCCAATCCCGAGAAATTGCACGGTTATGTGGATGCCTCCGAAACCAACTTCGTATTGTTCGTCGGTCAGAAGGTGACCTTGTTGAGGACTCTGGAGATTTTTGTCCAGCAAGCCAAACACAAGAATCATAGAGAGATGGGTCGTTCTCAATGAAGATCCACCACTTGCCCCATCGGAGCAAGCAAAATGACGAAACTTGGTGCCCCGGCCAGAACGAACCTATTCAGCTGTAGATATCAGCACGGTGATGATCTGCCATCAAGCTTGATGCCGACATCATTTACGCTCTTCGACACAGCTACATGTCATCATGTTCCGACCAGAGTTGCCACGTTTCACTCTTCTTGATTCTATACCGAAATTGCATCGACCACTCTTACACATGTCATTGAAACGGTTTGTGCATGATCCGACCTAGGTAACTAGTAAAAGTACAACATACTAATAAGTAGCAGGTGTGGGAGCATTCGGCGGATCACCGCCGTCTCCGTCGTAATTCGCAGCTCTCCTACCACCCGAGCCTTCCTCGATCGGCACAGAGCCTTGCAACTTGTGCCTGAGCGAGAGATACTTTCTCCTCTGCTGAGCCGATACACTTGGCTGAATCTTGGAGAGCGCCGCAACAAAATGCGAGTGCATGACCATGACTTTCAGCCCCTCCTCTTCTCCTCCCTTCTTGTCCTTCCTTACCTCAGGGAGTGAAAGCGACGATTGCGAATTGCGGAACAGGATAGTCTGCCTCAGCGCAAGTACTGCTGCTTCTCGTACCAAAGCGGCGAGGTCGGCACCTGAGAAGCCCTCAAGCTTGCTGTCGTACGCGATGCTTTGCAAGTCAACTTCGTCGCTCAGCGGAGTCTTCTGAGTGATCGTTTTGAGAATATCCAACCTCTCATCTGGCTTTGGTAGATCGACGTACAGAAGCTTGTCCAGGCGGCCAGGACGGCACATAGCTGGATCGATCATGTCAGGCCTGTTCGTCGCAGCGATCACGTATGTCTGAACCCTACTTTCCAGCCCGTCCAGTTCCGTCAGCAGTGTGTTGACAACCCTGCTAGAGCTCTCTGACAAGCTGTCATCTCTTCTCGGCACCAGCGCATCCAGTTCGTCGAAGAAGATGACACAAGGCGAGCTCGTACGGGCCCGGGCAAAGACTTGTCGTACCGCCTTTTCGGATTCTCCAACATACTTGTTGAGCAGTTCTGGTCCCTTGACCGAGATGAAGTTGGCGCGGGACTCGTTTGCCACGGCTTTTGCCAGCAACGTCTTACCACAGCCGGGCGGACCCCATAGAAGGACACCGGATGAAGCAGAGACTCCGACAGAGCGGAATAGCTCAGGGCGCTTGATCGGCTCGACGATGGCCATGGACAGCTCATCACGAGTGGAATGGAGGGCTCCAACGTCGGCCCAAGACACATCGGGTACGGTGGCGAATCCTTCTCGTTTAGAAGACGGTTGGACTGAGGGCAGCGCGATGAGGAAGTCCGAATTTGTGATGGCAAGTGGCGCGAGTTGTGACTCGGTAAGAGGGGAAGGGTGGTGTTTGAGGAAGGAGGCTATAGAAGAGTATCGGATGTGTTCTGGGAGCGCATCGAAAAAGGAGGAGGATGGGCGAACGTTGGTTGGCGCAGCAGCAGCTGGGATGGGCGTTTGTGTGCCGTCAACGGCAGCCAGGGTGGCCATGCTAGCGGAGGGTGTGACAAGATCGATGGCCGCTTCAACTCCCGCGGCAGCTTCAGCTGTGGCAGCCTGGTCGTGGTTGTCTCCTGCTTGCTGCGCAGCAGTAGCGGGCACGTCAGAGTCGTCCATGTCTACGTCCCTCGCCTCATTCGCACTCCCATCTCCTCGAGCATCGTTGGCGTGCAAGCCAATGGCCTGCGAGATACGCTCCGAGGAAAGACTTGATGGCAGCAATGAATCGCTTTCGCTTAATTGCTGAAAAATTCGCTTGACAGCAATGATACCAGCAGCTGAAGTGAGTGCGGTGAGATCGGCACCAACATAACCTGGCGTAGCTTTTGCCAACGCGCGGAAATCAAAATCACCTGCTAGGCGGAGCTTCTGCGCAAGCACTCGTAAGATTCTATCATCAATAATCGGAAGTAAGTAGATGTGGAAAGAGTTAGCTCTTGAGTCTCTATTACGATCCAAGTTGCATCAAGCCGGTATCAGGCTGCTGCTGCGAAAAACGTTGTGAGATCAGGGACTTGAATGGGAGGCCCAAAGGCCAACGCGCACAGAACGGCCCATTGCCGCTAGCGCTGTATATGTTCTGCATCATATGAAACACAACTTTCTTCGCTCAAAGGCGGCTACTGCATAGCTGGAAAACAAAAGATACTTACTGTTCGCGTCCGTCCTCATCAGGAACACCCATCGCGATTTCATGATCGAATCGTCCGGCCCTTCTCAGTGCAGGATCGAGACTATCAGGTCGATTGGTAGCACCGATGATCATCACCGGCTTTCCGTCGGTCTTCTCCCAGCTGAGATCGTCAAGCGAAGTGAGTAGCTGAGCCACGATTCGTCTCTCCATCTCACGCTGTGCTGTTTCGCGCTTTGGTGTGATCGCGTCGATCTCATCGATGAAGAGGATGCAGGGTGCGATCGATGCGGCCTCGTCAAAAGTATCTCGGATGGTCTTTTCTGACTCTCCCGAAGTACCGGATACGACTGAAGGAGCCGAAATGGAAAGGAAGGGCACGCCAAGTTCTCCGGCAACGGCTCCAGCGAGCATGGTCTTACCACAACCTGGTGGGCCATGAAGCAAAACACCACGAGGGGGTTTGACACCAGTATGAGCATAGATCTCTGGGTGGCAGAGAGGCATTGCAATGAGTTCGAGAATCTTCTCGATAGCGTGTGAGATACCGCCGAGATCAGCGAGACGGGTCGCTGGAGGGGTATACTTCTCGGCAGTATTCAGGAGCTTCGACATCAGACCTCCTTTGGGCCGTTTAGAGGAGGATGTAGCCAAAGCGGAAGCTTTGCTGCCATCGACACGAGAGGAGCGGGACTTACGCTTGACTGGAGAGGATGAGGAAGCAATAGGCGAGCTCTGCCGTGTTCTCGGTACGGAATCACTAGCTACTGGAGAAGCAGTGGCAGCAGTCTCGACCTCTGCGCCGAAATCTCCGTTCTGTTGCGCATGTTGCCGAGCGAGAGCTGCGGCAGCCGCTGATCCAGGGGGAGGTGGTACGGGTATATTGGATGTGACCGAAGGAGCAGAGGGTGAGGAAGGGAGGAGGGGGCTATTAAGAGATATTTTGTTGCGCTGGCTGGCCCAGGCGCCAGTGATGGAGCGATTCATATTGACGAGAAACGCATGAGATACCAGCTACAACCGATAGCGAACAGCACAAGTGGTCTCTATGCGATTCTAAGCAATCTTGTTGGTACAAGGGGAAGAAGGAAAGGAAGAAGAAATCAGGGTTTTTCTCTTTTCATGGATGCGAGTTCAGAAGAATTTTCGGACTTTTTT